TAGGAGGCAATATGGATTATACTACATGTAGTTTTATATCAATATGTATGTGTGTGTGTGTGTGTGTGTATGTGTATATATATATATATATATATATATATATATTTTTTTTTTGGAATGTCAAATGGGAAAATGTTGTACAATAATCTAGAAACATATGACCCGACCGTATGACTGGAAAATGTGAGAAATTGCTGACTATTTGTTTTACATGATTTGAGTTTTGAACACATTAAAAACACATTTGTGTCAGGACCAAGTTCCACTAACACCTGTTTGCAGTTGTTCTTTACAGTCTATCAGTCTTAGGTGTAGTCATAGACCGCAGGAGGAGGTGTGTGTGTGTGTGTGTGTGTGTGTCATGCGCGTCAGTGAGCGTGTCCTCCCAGAGACAGTCAGAATAAGGTGTCGGTCAGAGGAGGAAGTGAGCAGATGGAGGGTGGATAGAGAGCCAACAGGAAGTGGAGGCTTGATGGTTTCCTCATGTTGTGTTGACCACATTTAGGATTTCACTTCCCTGTGCTCAAACAGCCAACAGGTGCTGGTGTGAGTGTGTGTGCCGCATTTTAGTCCATCTCTTCCTCTCTTCATATTATTTTTTGTTCTTCTTCACCTCAAAGGAACTTCTGAAAATCAAGACCTTGAGAAGTGTTTAAAAGGCCAGTTTATAGTTTTGGACTAAAAGCAGCAGAGGTATTCACACATTAGTCCAATCTGTCAAAACTATTTCTCTCTCTGAAGGAGATTTTTTAGAAGTTGTAAAACTGTTGGGGTTAAATAGCATTCTGCTCATAAAGACAATCTTTTGTTGGATACTAACTATAACTATTTTTCCATGTGTGTGTGGGTCTATTCTTAAAAACTCTAAATTGAAAGTATCCTGACACATTGAGAGGCAGCTGTTAAAACTAGTAACTACACTGATAATCAGACGATGATACACTGATGATGCATAACTATAGCTCTGACCCAAATGCTGTGTGAAATTCAGGCCAGATCAAAAAAAATGTCATAAAATCTGCCTCTCCCACCACAAACTCAAAAACTCATTTTAGAAGGCGGTATTTGCATTGACAGCAACGTTACAGTCTGGAACAGTCAACCCAGGGCGAGTCTCGCTCTCATTACGAGCTAATGGTACCTCCAACTGGCCCCAGCTTCCTCTGAATAACTAAAGTCATAAACTTTTGTTTACAAGGACACAGGTCCATACTGCGTTTTGGAAAAATACTAAATTCAGATGGATGAGGCTGACCATTAAATATTTTAGTGAAAACATCCTCCTCCTTGGAGACTGGTTAAAAAATGACCCAGTGCATCACTGTCCATGTTTAGTGTTGTTGATTCACAGGACATAATCGTCTGTGGCATTTCTCCTTCAGTACCTAAAATAAAAATTGAGGGAGATATTGATTTTCTTTTTTTCTTTTTTTAAAATCTTGTTGAATTAGAGCTTAATCAAAATTAATATATTGTAGTGTATTATATTACTTTGTTGCTAATGTATCTGCATTGTTTTGTTGTCATGGACCATGTTTCTAGATACATATGGAAGAGAAGTGGAGATGTACTCTCCTAATGCTGACTCATTTTAATACATTTTTGTAATATTATGTATTATTCAGGGAACCTCCCCATCCCACAAGTACACTGCAGATCTGTGGGAAACCTTGTAATGTCATGTAACATAATTGCTATATAAGTCATTTATTTATTTAATGAGTTTGACGGTTGTTTAGGTTGTGTAACCATGGCCCCATTTTCCTACATGTTTTTAAAGCATTGCCAAAAGTGGTCACGAGGTGAGGTGAGTCAGGATCGGAGCAGTTCTGTGGGGAAACCCTGCTGACGTTCAGTCCTGGTTCCTGTTCAGACTGCAGACGCTGCAAAGAGTCCCTGCTGTGGTATGTTTTCTGTCCTGACAACAGGGAACTCTACGACAGACACACAATCCTACTCAGATCTCATTCCCGGTCCTGGTCTGTGGTCCGTGCAGGGAGAGCAGGGTCAGTGGAATGCAGTGTTTGTGTTGTAGATGCTGGGCGTGGCTCCGGCTGGCCATGGTGCCTGAGCAGTCAGCACGCAGCCATTCATCACGGTGTGTACACATGGAAACACGCAGCTCAGATCTGAACACACACTCTGCTGTCACAGCCAAGACACCCCAAACTGGGACAAGATGAAATCTGTGAAAACATAAAAAAAAAAAAAAAACATCAGAGAGGAACGGGGACCTGCTCGCTCCTCTGCTGTTGTTCTCAGCCATCCACTTCAGTTTCTTGAACTCTAAATATCGTTATAACTCTGACTTCTGACTCTGAGGTCCAGAATCAGATCTGGAGGTTCGTTCTTCTGACCTGTCATTCTGTCTGAGTCTCGGTTCAGCCAGCGGGCCTTTGACCTCAGCTCTGTGAGATCATGAGCTCAGTTAAACTGAAGTGGCTTTTCATTTCCAAGTTCGGCAAAGTGCGCTTGTGTCCATGCACCACGGTTTCTCACACCACGTTTTCATGTGACTTTAAATGCATGATTAATGTGTTCTGCTTTCAACAGCATATGGGGAGCTCAGAAAGGTAGAAATGATGCTATACTGTATGTCCAGTCGAAAAAGGGCAGCTGACGCTCAAGTGGTAGAACAGGTAGTCCATACATTTCATGGTCGGTGGTTTGATCTCCAGTTCCTCATGTCTAGGTTTTGAGGTGTCCCTGAGCAACCCTGTCTCCTAGGAATCCCATTCAAATACTACTAAACTGGTTCCCTGTTGTTTAATGGCAGCAGAGTCGACAGGCTGTGGTTGGGGTGGATGGTGCCCAAGGTTCACATCCTGTCCTGTCTGTGGTTTCTAAAAGTTGTTAGTAAGATGAACGTCTGCCCTTGTTTCCTGAGCTGGTCTTCTTCATCATGCTTTGTTTATTATGTAATAAAATGTATTTCGTCCATGCAAAGTCTCAAAATAACTTCCCAACAAAAAGTGCAGAAAATCTAGAAATCTACTACATGAAACTTACCTCTGCAAGTGAACACCAAACCCAATTTTTTTTTCCTATGTTTCCACACCCCAATCAATTGAATTCATATTTACATGTGAATCAATTTTTTTTTTTTAGATATTTTTTAAACCCTGCACACGCTGACATGTGCTGTCTTTATGTTGTACTTGTTGTAGATCCTCAAACCGAGTCTGAAACTAATGACTGACTGTTTCCTGTCACCTCCTCACATCACATTCCTCCTGTGAATACAAGCCTGTCACACACTCAGCTGCTCTGTGATTGGACTGCGAGATATACTCCTCCCAGCCATTAACATGAATGGCAGCCTGTGTGTTCTGCATTCACGCACTCTCTGTTATTTTTTTCATAAAACTCAGGAATGTTTGGTGTCACATTGTCCAACTGGTTTTCAGCCCAACAAACAGCAGACTGTGAAGCTTTTTTTCCGCTCTGCTCTCAGTCACAAGATGCTCCACCAACAGTCATCTGAGGCTGAATAATGTGCTCTCTCACTGCTGAGCTCTGGGGTTATTTTTCTGCGCAGTAGGAAAAAAATGTCCAACCAAATGTTGTGCACAACGGAGATGATTAGGACTTCACAATGTAGTGGTTGCCTGATAGTCAGATCAGGTTTTTTGGTTTTGTTATGTCATAAAACAGCATATACATAAACATCAACTGTAGTCATTTTCTTCTACAGGAACTTAGCCTGTAGCCTGTACCGCACCTGAAAATGTAAGTGTACTTTTGACAACCTTGTGAGTACAAGGATCTCCCTTCCATCTTCCTACTGTATTTTACAAGCTGGGGCTTCATTAAAAATGCAGCAGCGGTACAGACCATCCCCAGGTTTTGCAAAACAACAGGACGTTGTGACCGAAGCTGATTAATGCATGTAGTAAGAGGGTTCTTGCTGGCCCAGGGATTTAAGGCACTGACCACAACATCCCTAATTTGAGTCTGACCTGGGATCTTTGTTACATGTCAGTACTCCATCTCTATTGATTGGAAAGACATAAAATGCCCCCAAAATACTCTGTTTTCTTTTCCTAACATTGCAAAAGGCTGCTGTGTTAACACCTGTGAAGTGAACGAACAATGTGATCGATCTATAAATCGCCTGCTGAGCTGAATCATCATCTCATGATCGAATTGGTTACGAAATGACATTGTTTGTGATTGCATCATTAAATGCGTGGCCTTTCTGCCAGCTCGCCAGCTGTCTGCAAATATTAGACTGATGTCAAGAAACGCAAACAACAGGAACAGATGAAATGTGTGAAATGTGCTGAGTTTTCTGCTCTACCTGTGCTGAAACTGATTATTAAACTGCATCTCTGTGCTGTACTTCATTTAAGCATCTGGTACTGACAGTCCTTAGCTATACATGGTAACCTCTATTTTGCAAGTATGCCTAACGATGACATCCTCGGCCTCAGATCAGCTGTCTTGCACACAAAGTGGACAATGGAGAATGGCATGCAACAAGGATCCCAGGCCAGACCACCAATGCCATCAACCCCTGAAAGCACCTGGAACTTGGATTAAATATCACAACCTGAGAAGGGCAAAAATGTAGTTCCAGAAACTCGTCCCCAAAACAGTTGGAGACCAGTGAAGAAAAAAGCAGATTCAGAGAAAATAGGTAAATGTTACCAGAGGTTTTCAAACTGAAGAGCTAAAGGGAGGGATGCGATGCGATGCAAAGATAATGTCTGAGGTGAATCGGTATTAGTATCAAAGTAATCCAGTGACAGCTGCCTGAACATCCATGGGCATATTTTAAACAGGAGCTGCTAATAGCTATCGGCATCTTTCTAATTGTGCCAATTTGACAAAATGTAAATAAATAGAGGCCGACGGGTTGTGTTATGTTTCAATAAGTTTCTGCAGCAGAGAAGGGCTGAGAGAGCGGTTCTACCGGTGAAGTTCATCCAGACAGTTACAAAGGTGTGTTTGCTGCCTGACTGTAAGGACATTAAACTAAAAGATTTTTCTGTCTGCAGTGTGAGGCTGTAGCAGAATCAATCAATTAGACAGATGGATTCTCCGTCTTCTTCCAGGACTCTCCTGAGACGGAGCTGGACGGACTGCACAGGTGAATAATGACCCCCATACTTTTCTAACTGGCACTTTTATTTATTCCTGTGATTGACAGGAAAAATGTTGCTTTGAATACATTTCTTACAGCCTGCACTGTATCCAGCCTTTCCTCTGGCGCTCTGTTTCTGTTGTTGTTTCCTGCGTTTATCGGCAGCCAGCACCATCATTGTTAATTCAAGTCCCACAGAAAACAGTCTGCTGTTGTCTGACTGCTAGTTAACAGCAAAACCGCCACCTGAATATCACCAATAGACATTGGAGAGCCCTGTGATGCGTATGACTGTGAAGGAGGACTGTAGGGCTGGTTTCACAAAGACGGACTTACCAGTGTTAGCAAAGTGTCTGTTCAATCCACATTGACTCCAATGTGTAATGCCAGAAATTTACTGAACAAAAACAGTTGTGCAGTTGGCTGCATGAGGAGTATACAGGAAGAAAACTGCATTTTTTTATTGAGTGATTCATCGATTTTTAAGTTCCCGGCCCACAGCAGCTCTGTATGTCCACAAAGAAACTAAAGCCCTTGATCCGTCATTGTAGTTGATAAATGAACAACGTATCGACAGCAGGAGATTTGTGAGATTTGAACAGCTGCCTGTGGAGATTACACTAAATCAAACGTTACACGGAGATCTTTAGGAGGACTGATTTTATATGACTAATTAAACTCTGGATAATTAAGACTCTTTTCAAACTCATAAACATAACCGTGTGTCGTTCTGTAGCAAACGGTCAATCATTCCAACTTGCTGCTAGCAGCTCCGTTGTTCTGTCTCCTCTCATGCTTTAAGGGAAGATCGCAGTGATTATTAATGCCACAGGTCTGACTGGGGTGTCGACCTCTTCAGACTATTTCTCTTCTCCATGTACCTTGCAGAAAAGTAAGTAAAGTTGCATACTTTGTTTTTCATTTCCTGATATACATGGAGGTTATGTCTGCTGCTTTTCAGCCAACAGGGAAGAAAAGAAAATATGTTTCTTTATAGATTCATATAGATGCCTGTTATGGCACCTTTAATGAAACATGACTCACTTCAGTGTTTCCTGCAGGAAATAGGTCAACGGAGGTGGAGAAGTTTTTCCGTCTACAGTTCTATTGACTTTTCTTAACTTGTAAACTTGCAGTTTTCATTTCTCTCAACATTGCAAAACTATTCACTCACTCATTCGTTAAATTGGTGGCCTTCGTTGTTTCGTTTAGCAGTTCTGCTTGTTTTCCCTGAATCTTGACATCACACTCCACGAAGGTGTAGCAATTTCTTTTAATGTTCCTGGAGGACTTTGTTTTACTTTATTTCTGCTGCAGTAACACAATGTGGAAAACACTGTAAATGTCTAAGTTGCTGTCTGATTTTCTGACTCCGCAGTTGTTCATGCTACAGGCGAGTCCAACATGACAGCTGGTCTAACGTTTCAAAATTCATGATGATGACAGAAGTTCAAACTGAGACTCGCAAACAGACGCTCACAGACAGTAACTGTTCCTCAGCACTGAAGATATGAGGAGACATTCGTGTCAATAAAGTTTAGTGGAGAGGAGAGATAATGTCATCTGTTAAGCGTAGTCGGTGAGTGAGTGCAAACTTATGACTTGGGTCCCAGGGCTTTGTATTTCTGTCTGTGTTTACATTTAGTTGTAATAAATGACCAATTACCAAGGTGGGACTGAAGGCAAGGAAGTTATAAGGTTAAAGGTAAATATGGGTAAAATGTGTCACAACATAACATAGATGAAGCATTGTGGCACTACAGAGATGTCCCAGCCAACAATTCATTTTCTCCAGACGTAAGGGAACATGCTTGTTTGGTACAAGACCCAACAAGAATCACATCATCATCTTTTTTTTTTTTTTTTTTTTTTTCAGTGAAAATGAAATGTAACTGAAATTGTGACTCACACTGCAACTGCAATATCTGCCAAAACAATTACAATATGATTTCTTGGCATGTTACTGTTCAGCCACATTGAAGTGTTTTATGTGGAACATAAAACAAAGGAGGAAGGAAAGAAACTGATTGCCATCCAAACAGCTCAACACTTCCTTCTTGATAAGCAGCAAAAACACAGTGGCTTTAAATCCGAGCAGCTGCAGCGTCTGACGGCTGGTTCAGAACAGGAACCTGCTGATTGCTCCCACTGCTCCCAGGACAGTGGGTCTGGAGGCTTCTGGTCTTTGAATATGATTAGGAGTGTTCAGACTAAAAAGGAGTGTTAAATCCAGCTATTGAGATTAGCTGCTTCCATTGGCTGGTTATGACCTGTGCTGCCATGTTTATATGTAAAGCAGCTCACTGAGTCAGACAGGGTCACTAACACATTCATTTCTTATTCATTCATGCGCTGTGTGTCCTTGTTAGATACAAGCTGCTTCTATTATGTGCAGACCCTGACTGTGTTCAAACATTTTGACTCAAAACAATTATAAGTTTATTATAATTATTTATAATAATTATTATAATTATAAGTTGCGGAAACTTTCAGACAGCATTTACACCATATAACATAAATATATAACAATGAAACTCTCAATTCAACATTTTTAATTTAGGGCAAGACACCAATGAAATATGATGCACTGTAAAACACCCTGCTGTGTTTGACACAAAAAAATAAAAAACAAAAACCACATAAATGTGATGTCAGACTGAATAATGAAGAGAAACTAAATGGAATTTCAGTCTGATTATTAGGATATTTTTCCTACCACTAATTAAACTGAACCAGTATCCATCAAGATAATGAAGAAACTTCTAATGGGGATATTCCATTCTAGAGGTGCAACTAATTGATTGCTGATTAATCGATTAGCTGATCAACAGAAAATTAATTGGCAACTATTTTGATAATCGATTATTGGTTTAAGTCATTTTTTAAGAGCAAAAAAGCCAAAAAATCCCCTGGATTGGGATCGTTGGTCACATCAGACTTTTAAAATTGTCGCATTGGAAACTGTGATGGACATGCTCAAAATGTTCTTACATTTTCTAGAGCCAAAGGATTTATACATTTATCAAGTAAATAATAATCAGATTACTCAGTAATGAAAATAATCTTTGTTTGCAGCTCTGTTCCATTCACACGTGTTCAGAGGTTAACTGTGTAAGTGCAGCTGCAGTGTTGGGAGTGAACCTGAATCAGTTCCAAAATAACCAGTCGATAAACAAATGAAGCTTCTGCTGTGGTGTCATCTGATACCTATTGTAATATAATGTCACAAACTGGCATGTCGGGTTTTTGTTGTCCCTTTGTGTTGTCTTGTCAGGATGTCAGCAGCCCTGTGCTGTCATTTTTTCAGCATCTTCTTCATTTACCTCATGAGGAAAATGCTGGCATGTCCCACTTGGTGTGTCCGTGTCCTGCTTATCTACGAACTGCAGACAACCACTGTTATCTAACATGTTAGAGACACGCTCCATGTCTCGTTGGCATGCCCTGGCTCTTGTGATGTTCTTAAAGGAGAAACTGTCCATGTCTCTGTGGTTGTAATGTAAAGCCATTTCAGGCACAGTTCCATAAACACAGCAAGCGTTTCTCAGTTAGTTCAATTTGAAATCCACATATTGACAAGGATGGTCCAAATACTCAGAAGTGTTGGTGCTCTGCCCATTTTAATGTAACATTACCTGCTAGAACGATGCTGACTGTGAAAATCTACTACAATTCCTTAAGTGCCCAAACCTTGATAATGTTTATCACGTCAGCTTTTTGGTAAACAAAACTGCCATGCATTCAGCTCCAAAAAAAGATCTTGTGGTTCTGATGTGGGTCATAAACACGGCTTTTAATATTTGAAATGTAAAATAAAAATCCTCAGTGTGTAACTGCAACAGGCCATACCCATACCTCGACCTCCGGTGGCAGGCGTTCCTAAAATGGATGTCCGTCCGTTTGCTGACTTTGTTAAAAAAAAACTAAAAAAAAACCAGCTACCTATAGTGATGTTAGCTTGTACTCATTGAGGCGGGAGAGGCACCACGAGTAAACACAACACAATGACCAGATTTTTCCCCAATGGAAAAAATTCAGGTATGTAAACATGAAAAAGTCCACAAAGTTGATAATTATACGGAACACTTCACTATTATTAATCTCTATAACTATTCATACCCACTCACTGCAGCTTCTATTATTTCACCTGCAGCTCTATAAACAAGAATTTCAGTATTTCCTGAATGAGTGGTCAGTCCCACTTCCCCACTTCCCCTCTCAAACTGGCAGGATATTGGAGAGCCTCGGGGTACCGCATCTCCCTGTTCCTCATGGAAATGAATGGGGAGCCAAATCTGCAGCCACAATGTATTTTAGGCTATGTATAATTATATAAATAATGCTGCAAGAGCTTTGTACAAATAACTTGAAATAATCACGTTAATATAAATTTGTATGAACCGTTTTTTTTAAGTAGCGGCCCAAGTTAACATAAATATTCAAAGAGCAGAAGTGAAATGGGCCAGTTCCTTTCTCCTCACTGAGGGTTTTGATATGACTGACTAGTTAAGACAACAAACAGCAACAGATGTGACTCAATCCTCAGGATTTTCAGTAAGAATTGATGATCAGTCTAAACTCCTTTGATTGAAGCCGCAGAGGGTTTTTTTAGTTTGGGCTTCCACCTGTTAGTATCCAGCCCAGAGGAGGTCAGCTGGCTCCAACCCCAGCTGCAGGTACTGTCACCTGGGCCATATCAAAGGCAGGACGGCCCACCCTCACAGCCCTGTGGAGCTCGTTAGCTGTCAGAGCTAATTGGGAGGGTTTTTATTGCACAGATGCTGACGCACTTCAAAGGAGTTCCCCTTCAAAGAGCACACAGGTCAGAGTGGGAATAGGAGGAGGAAAAGGAATATATGAATGATTTCATGTTATAGTTTGACTCTGAGGTATTCCCTTATAGAGCAGAGTGAAGGACAGATGAACCTGGAGAGAAGCCGTTTATCAAAATTTTATTTTTGTTAAAGTGACAACTTTACTTTACTTCTCATTGTGAAGTAAATGTT